CTGGGACAGGAAGTCAGTGCGAAAGTAGAAAGAAAGCTTAATTTTTGTCTTCCATGAGTTCATAAAAGGTTACCAGTAATTTGTGGTACCTTAAAAGAAGGACTGGAAGAGAACACATGTGGTAATTTATGCGAGTAATGCTCTGTGGCTCAAGCTACACATAACATCTCTGTCATATCATAATGGACGGACCGTGTTCACATGTAAAGAGCTCAGAAGTATGTGATTGTTCATCCAAACCATCATCTTGTGCCCAGTCGTTGACTGAAATGGACTTTGAGCGGGGAATATGGCAAGCTGCTCTGGATGGCAACCTGAATAGGGTCAGAACACTTCTGGACAAGGGAGGGGACCCTGATGCAAGAGATGGCTCGGGATATACAGCATTGGTAAATATCACTGAAAGTTGATAACATGTACGGGGTCGGGTGCTAAATAAGTTAAAGCAACGCTTGCTCAAAATACCTGTTTACATGATGACAGTAAACTAGCATAATGGGGTACCAAAGAAAAACAAAAGATGACAAGATGAGAGTGAACAGTACGTCTATATCTAATATGTATGTAAAAGTTCCTCCCCCTCCCTCCCTCCCCCTTCAAAAAAAATCCTCAGCGATGTTAAAGTTAGCCTGCGAAAACAGCCGTCCTTCTTTGCTCCTGGCCTGACTCGGGCTGGGAATGAAGAAGGACGGCTGTTTTCGCACGCTATGTTAAAGTCCTTAAATACCTAGTCAAAATGCAGACCGTGCAGACTGAGTACTTTTTTTCTTATACTAGTTTTAATTTTGCATTTACTTTTGACTCACATTTGTTTTGGTCCTAGTTACAAAATAGGGTTCAAATATATATCAGAGTGTGTTATTTATCCTGTACACTGTGAGCAGTCTCCTTTTTGCTCAACAGGTGTCAGAAGGCAAATTGTGATACCCATGCTACTTGCAGTGTTTCACGCAGAGGAGGAGAGGGGCACTCCCAGAAATATTGCATGGGGGTGTGTGGTCCACTTCCCAAAATCCATACCCTGTTTATGACGAAAATATGCGATTTTTCCTACCTTTTTTATGACCTGATCAAAAATTTGACATCCTATTTAGGACCTTACCCTTATTAAAATCAAGACCTTGTTTCAGACCTGTCCTATAATTATTAGTTTCCTAGTTCAGACCAATGTTAAAGGCATTGTTTATACGCTTTTATCAGGTAGCTAAGGGTAGTTTCTTCTAAAAAAAACATACCCAACTCAATTAGCCATGTTTTAAACAGGCAAGGGACTGAGTATGAATGTTTAAAAAAATGATTAATTTAAAAAACTGAGCCTGGTGCCTATAAGAGCACCTAAAAGTTAGTAAGTTTACCGAATGTCAGTGTTTTTGGTTCAACACAAACTTAAGATGTAATATGCTTTTAGGTACCATTAATCAATTTTAATTATTTGCACCCAGTCCCTTGCTCATTTAGAACTTGGCTAATTCAAGACCAGAGTGCAAAAACCATACCCTATTTGAGACCAAAATGGCCAAAATCAATACCCTATTTCTGAAGAGCTAAAAAACCACACTTGCATGCAGCACATACATATACCTATATAGTCCAGATAAGGGAATACCACCCCCCGCCCCCACCCCCACTTGTGTTTCACTAATCAAGATTTCATAAAATCAATTATTGTTTATAGCATTATGCCAGTCGCAGTGGTTATGAAGATGTCTGTCAGTTGCTCCTTGAACAAGGTGCTGATGTGAATGCCCGAACCAGATCAGGCAAGGTATCGTCACTACACAGGGCTGCTTACTCAGGTCATACCGCAGTGGTCAGACTTCTCATCAAATATGGAGCTGATTTGCAACTCTTGGACAGCGATGGACAAACTCCACTTCATAAGGTACTATTTTAACAACTAAAACAAAGGAAATATTCCATTTATTTACAGTTTGTAAGACAAGTTTTTGAAAAATATTTTTTCTGTAGATGTCAGTCTTCAGAGTCGCCTACTTTACCTTAAAATCACTGAACTTAAATTTTGGAAACTTTGCTTTGGTAGAGATAATTACTTTCTTAATTTTGCAGTAATATTAGGCGATGTCACCTTAAAAAAAATCAGGAAAATTTTACTACATTTTCATGAATTAAAGTAGAAGTACTAGGCGTGGTTTATGCTAAATGAGATGAAACACATGCCATGATTTTCTTGCTAAAGATCCAATTGCTTCTTTGAGATTGTGCTTCTGCTTGTGCTTCTGAAGTTTTCCAGGAATTTAAGAAAGGTTCTCTATTTTAACTATTGAATATGCATTCAGATAATTTATTTTTTCATTTCAAAGAGGAAAAAACTGGTTTTAGGGTAGGTCTAAGTACTAACAACACCCTTCTTTTTGTTGATTTATTTTCAGGCTACTCAAAAGATGCAAAAAGAAGTTGTCAGGTTATTGATAGGACTGGACTCAAGCCTTACAAAAGTCAGAGATAAAAATGGAAGATTACCTGCAGATGTCGTGCCCTCAAATGAACTTGAAATGTTAGACATGTTACAACATGAATACAAATAACTATAAACTAAAGATTTCAACTATTTCTACCCTTACGGGCCATAGTTAATTTTATTGTCAGGCAAGTACATGGAGACTTTATTTTTTCCGTGAAATACCAGTTGTAAAAATGTCGAGAAGCTGATAAAAACGAAGTACAGTATTTAAATGCATTGGATCTTTGGGCGACTTCCTTTGTTAGTCATTGACTAATATTGAAATTTCCTTTTGAGTAAGCATTGTAAAGGGTATTTTAAGTGATCTGTGAATAGTCTTACTTTTTCCTTGTGAATTGTGATATGGCCAAAACTTTTTCACGTGAATCGAGATTTCATTAGTGGCCGTAAACCGAGATTTCCCGAAAGAATTTTCAGTGAAATAAGAGGTAAACGGTTTATTTAGCTGTGGACCGTTGTTTTGTTTATCTCTTCAATTGTTTTCGACTATCATTTTCACGTGATAAACTTTGCACAGCCTTGGCAGGCTAATCGTTAATCTCTTTGCATCAGCCTTTGGTGGAACGAAAGCGGTTTTCTTTTCACTGAGTGCAGAAGAAGCGGAGGAATAGCGAAGATGTTGAACAAGGTTGTGCTTTGGACATGAAGCTTCAAAATTTTGTTAATAGTAACAGTAACAGTAACTTAATTATACATAACAGGTTTACATGCCTTAGTTGCTCGCAACTACCAAAGCTATTCTGGACGCTGAGCTACTATTACAGTCTTGGCAGAGGTTGTCTAGTAGAGTGCAGTTCCAATTTTCACCAAAATGAAATCAGGGAGTAAATGGGATTGATAATTTAGCACTCTTCCATCTTTCTTTTGTCTTCCTTTACAAGGGGTAATCAGAAAATGTAATAAATGGTGGGAAAATTGTTCACTTGGCCTGTCCTGCTACCATTTGTTTGTTTCCGACTAACCTGCGAGAGCATCT